AATGCAGCAGAAAGTGCTGCTGTTCTCCTTTCCAGCTTCTCTGTTTTTTTCATACTGGCCCATCTCAAAGAGCCCATTATGGGGGGACAGGGTGTCCCCAACAAAGCTGCTTCCTGACCTTTGCTTTTTCCCTAGTCAGACAACACGCATGTTGTTATTCCCTGCTTCAAAGAATGCTCTTCCAGAAGAAGAGATGCAATTCATGGTAATAGGTCACAGGAAAGACCAATTAGATCATCCTACTCCTGCCCTTCCCAGTGTTCATCTCCCGGGAGAACTGTTTCTGGCTGTAGTGCAGGCCAAGGATCACCCTGAGCAAAGTGCCCCAGCCCTGCTCTGGGACGGTCTCTAACAGGGAGAGGCCCGATTTGGGCAGTAATGCTCTGCTCACCGGTGTGACCACCCTCCCTGGCAGGGCTGGGAYTGGCAYRGGAGCTGTGCAGGGACCCAGGTGGRTGGTGGGAGYGGGCAGAGTGATGTGGAGCCCAAAGYTGTGTGGCCCAAGGGACAGCAGAGYACTCATGGAGGGAGCACCTGTGAGGGCACGGGCACCGCTCCTGCCCAGCCCTGCAGACGTGTCCCTCCCTCTTCCCTTCCCAGTGCTCTGTGACCTGTGGAAACGGGACCCAGAGGCGSCCTGTCCACTGCAGCAACAGCACCGGGACCGCGTGTGACCCTTCAGAGAGACCCCACCCAGAAAGGGTTTGCTCCTTACCACAGTGCCAGCAGAAATGGGACAGTGGCAACGTTGACTGGTCTGGCAGYGGCTCCTCCAGCAGGGAGATCTTCAATGAAATCCATTATATCCCCAGCAACCACATTACTAAATTCAACCCCTTGATCCCAAACATCCCAGAGTCCAACGATGTCAATGCCATCACCGAGGAGGATTTCTCAGCCAAAAAGGGAAATGTCTTTGTTGATGATTTTTACTACGATTATAACTTTATCAACTTCCATGAAGATCTGTCTTACTATCCATTCACGGAGAAGGAGACCAAAGGCGAGGAGCCRAAGCCAGAGCTGAGCCCTGATGGCACAGAGGGGCCCCAGGAGCTGCCCCCTGAGGCCCTGCCCCCCACCAAGCTGGGAGGAGAGAGCGAGGACCATCCTTCCAGCAACGGGGAAAACGTTCCTGCTCCTGTGGATGAGCAAGAGACAGAGCCTGGGGATTTAGCCATGAATGACCTCCTGAACGTGGTCCCTGAGGATGTGGGGTCAGCCACTCCCAGATACAGCACCCCTGCCTTTTTGGGTGAGGAGGAGGAGGACCCAGTGCTTGTTCCCCATTCTGAGCACYTCCTGTCCACCCAGAGCACCGTGARCCGCGACTCTGCGAACAGCCACAGCCACCTGCCCTGGGATGAGCCCCACAGAGCAGTGCCCACTTGGGCCAGCCCTGGGGAGGATGTCCCGGTCCATGGTCCCATTGCCTGGAGACCCCATCCAGCTGATGCGGTGCCCACGGGCTGGGGCAGTGCCAGTGTGGGTATGTCCCAGGGGCCAGGAGCACCGGGCAGCACAGAGGGGCACGGCACGGCCAGCCCTTCAGGGAGACGCCACGAGGACTCCAGGGACATGGGTCTGGCCATCAATGGTGGCACTGACAGTGCAGTCCCCCAGCCCCCGGAGCAGCATGGGTGGGCAGGAATGCCAGAGGGGATGTTGGGCACGCAGGCAGGCGGGCGAGCCCGTGGGATGGATAGGGCAGATCTCTCCTTGTCCACCCCACAGGCTCCAAGCTGGGAGGTGACAGGGAGTGCTGGCAGCCCCCACCCTGCTGTTAGTCCCCCTCCCGTGGGTGCTGATGGGGCTCCCATGGGGCAGAGAGGGCACCAGTCAGAGCTCCACACCCCCACAGCTCCCACCTCAACCCCCTGGGTGACCACAATGGCCCCTCTGGTGTCCCTGTCCCCTGCTGTGGCCAGCCCAGCCACCCAGCTCACCTCCAATGGCCTCAGCCTGCAGGATGGCCTGGCCCCAGCCATGCCCACAGCCCCAGCWCACAGCCCACCTGCCCCCACTGCAGAGTCCCCTCTGGAATGGGGGACACGGGGGATGTCCCAGCAACTGGATCCGACATCGCCCCACGCCAAGCTGACCTCCCATGGGACCCCACTCAGTGTCACTGCACCGCAGGAGYCCTCACCATGGGTACCCCCAGGGACATCTGCTTCCAGTGACAGGGACGAGTTGTCCCAGCCCACCCCTTTGCCCCCCCTGCTCTGGGACAAGGGGCTGGAGGAGGAGGCTCTGCTCTCACCATCGACTACCGTGGCAGCTGCTGCCAAGCCCACCTGGGAGGTCGGGAACTGGAGTGAGGTACGTGGTGAGTCCCATTAAAAGTGTGACRTGGGACAAGTGTGGATGTGTCCCTGTTTTGGCTGGCTCAGGGATGTTGCTCTTGGCAGCAGTCYGTGACTGGGGCACCCTCCTAGTGCCCATGGAAGAGGCAGGAGCTGAGTCCCCAGGGACCTTTCTGCTGGGTCACCAGGCTCCCTCCTTGGCCAGATCCAGAGCTGGGGCTGTCAGGGTGTGGGGATGGAGAGGAGCAGGGTCAGGGTGTGGGGATGGGGAGGAG